TATAAACGGATTTTAAATTCTAAAACCCGTTATTATTATTATTATTATTATTATTATTATTATTATAACGAGGTTTGATTGTAGTATGTTGCGTTATTTGCCAACTATCTATAGTAATAGATAAAAGGATTCTTTCTTATAATAATTACATCTAACGAAAAATTGAAACTTGCTTAAGTGTTAGTATTCACACGTGTACACCTTAATTAATTAATTAATTCCTTTATAGATCTTTTTTCAAGCTTAGTTTGAAATACAATTTAAATTTTATTACAATATCACAATCTTAAAATAAAATAAGCAAAGATAACTTTTTGACTCTTGTATAAAACCAATAAACATTGGCTAACTTATATGAATAATCGTCCGAACAATATTAATATAATAATAAACATAATGTAGCAATAGTAATAATGGAATATTATACCTAAATGTTAGAGCTTCGTTAGGAATTTGATGGAACTAAAGCATGGAGCTTTGAACTAACATTCGTTTGAATATTCCTTTAAAAGTTCTATGAATGTCAACAAGCATCAAACGGATGGTCATTCAAAAAAGACGAGCACAGCAAACAAAGAACCATAGGTTCCGTTTGCTTGCCAAGAGTATGCGTCTTCTTTCTCCACATAGTCACCAAATGCAAGTACATGATTTTGAAGAAAGACAAAAATGTGAATGGGCTTAATCAAAAAAAATACATATTTGCCAAAAGTTTAGAATAAAATAATAAAAAATAACATTATTAATTAATTAAGATAAAATTTTTTGCTTGATGGACATCAAAACATCTAAAGTTTCTGTGTGGAAAGTGAAGATGAAAAAGGGAAATCTCATATATTATTTTAATTTAAGTTGGGAAATAATCATTAATAAAAAGATTAAAGTATTAACTGCATATATCCTTTGCCATAATTATTTAAGGCTATAAAAATACCACCATTCAAAACGTTATTGGAGGACAAGAAACTCGATTGAACTTTCTTTTGTTTTCCATAAAAATTCTAGAATTTTTATTAGAATCCTTCAACTGGATTTAGCCTCACAAAACTTACTAAGACTTTTTGGGTAAGGATTATTGGTATTAATTATTCAATAGTTTATGTAGGAGTAAACCATAATCCAACAATAATTCCAACGAAGACTATAGTCAATATTCTCGTCAACCAGTTTCTTGCCCAAAATAATACTATTATTAGCAAAACACCAAGAGCAACTGACGCAACCTTTGAAGCCAACGGATCAAATCCACAAAAAATTAATAACGCTCCTATAAGTGATGACCCAAGATATCCTATATATATTATTGGAATTGGAAACTTTAATATTATCATCATCATCATCATAATATTACTTGCATAACAATAAAAGCTTAATTCTCTTACCAGCTGGCAAGGTACAACATTGTATGCCACCCCTCTATAAACACAAGCATATATATATACAAGGAAATATTAATTAACAAAACGTTATTCTTGGATTTCCTCCTGATCCCAAACTCAAATTATTTCGTATTATTTGTTGGGTAAGAAATTTTCCTGAAAATATAAAATTTTTTTTCCTAAAAGAAAATATTCTAAATTTTTAAAAATTTTTTTTTAGCGTAATGTCATGTTTATATTCTGTATGGGATATTATGGATGATTTAGGTATGTAATTTTTGATCAATGATTTATAATTTTCTACTATATTAATACACATATAAATATATCATTATTACAGTTTTTCGTAAAGTAAATGAATCTGATGCATCTAAATTTGCCAAACAATGTCGTTGTTGTCCAGCACAAGTTTGGGGATTTATATGGTTTTTGATTAGTCTTGTCTTTTTAGCACTTGGTGTGCTTGGAGGACTTATAGCATTCAAAAGTCAAACAAATGAATCTAGTTAATTGAGCTTATTATAAATAACAATTAAAAATTTTGGATTGAAAAAAATTATTTAAACACTTACATCTTAAAATATTATTTTTTTACACCTTTTTACTCTTTGATCCTTGGATTAGTTTAATTGTATTTTTTAACATTTCATCAATATTATCAAAACTTGATGTTTTTGTTATTGATTCAACAATTCCCAAGGAATCTTTCATATCAGAATTAGATATTTCAACATCTTTTGTTGATGAAATTAAAGATTTCTTATAACATAATATATTTAATTAATATTTGTAATAATAATAATTTAATAATAATAGAGTTTATAATATTTATGATTATTTACTTTATCTTCAATGATTTGTGGTACTCGTCTTCTAATATGTTCGCTCATATGATATAATCCAATGGATGAATCATTATATAAATGATACAAGTAATGCTCGACTTCTGCACTTGCTATTTTATCATTATAATTTAAAAAAATATTAAGATCTTAAATTGTGAAAATAATTCTAATAATTCTAATGAATGAATTAGCCAACCTCGTTTTGCTTTTTCTTTTAAATTTGCTTGTTGAGCTTGTTGATCTCCAGTGTAAACACTCCCACTAGTACCAACACTAATATTATCTTTCATTCCACCGCCAACGCTTGCCATACTAGTTAAATAATTATTAAAACCAACACCAACAGAAGGAGAGGGAGCTTTATTCGTGTTGAAAGTTAATGAATCAGTAATAGAATTACTTAAAGAACCAAGTGAAGAAGGTGTCCAAGTTGTCATAGAGGCAGCAGCCGCTGATGGCATATTTATAATTTGCTCGGTTAATATTGAAGAAAAATTGGAAAATGTATCAGTATAATGATCGTTATTTGCTGATTTGAAATCTTCTTGGTTGGTTGTTAATTCATTTATACTAAAAGAAGTTTGTTGTTCAGGTGGCAAAGATGAAAAGAGTTTTGAGATATTTGATGACGATGGCGGTGACAATGATAATGGTGTCGTCGTCATGATGTATAGTGGTGAAACCATATTTTTGCCAATGCAGATCATTTAAAAAATTTTGAAATATCATGTGATCCGTATGCAATGTGTGCGTTAGCTTTGCTTTGTTGGCTTCTTTTTATTAATAAAAAGGAAATAAATAATAATAATGGCCATTCCATGGAAAAAAATTGTTACACGAAATTTATTCGGTCTCAATTTTGTGCTAAAAGTTAATAATAAAATTATCGTTATTTAGTATTTTGAAGCTGATCAATGATAAATAAAAAATGTACGGAGCAAAAAAAAAATATGGAATCTCTACTGACTGTAAAACAATTTTTAGCCTGAAGATCTACTTCATTAATATATAAAAGGCAAATGATAAGCATCTAACCTTTTTTGTTAAAGCCTATAATGGGCACAAATGTTAGGTTACATTACATATATAATAATAATATGTCCATATTTCGTTGCTTCGTTATTCTCTCTACGTACGAAAGTTCCATGTTATCTATCAATAATAATTTATCCAAAATTTCTGTAACCTTTCAATTTTTAATTTTAGATATTGATTTACCCAGAAAAGAGTAACATATCTATGTGGCTTCCGGGTTTTTTTCGAATGGAGAATGTCAATATGCTAGTCGTATTTAAAGCAAGGACTTTTGCGAATAAGAAAAATATTGCACCAATACAAATTCAAAAATCGTCGTTAAAAGTGGAAATTACTAAACCGCTACCATAAATTTCCATTTCCAACTACCTAGAATGTATCAATACCTAAAAGAATAGGTAGTCATTTATAGATAAATTTCCAAATTAACATTACCAAGTCAAATGTTGTAAATCTTAAGGTTATATTCAAGATAATAAATAATGTTTTGTTAATATAATTTTATTTACATTTTTTGAAAAGGTTGAATATCAAAAGAAAGGACAAACTAATGATAGGAACTAAATCTTATCTTAAACAATTAACCGATCGGTTTACAAATAAATCCAATAAAATAAATGTAATAATCTTAAATACGCCTAAAACTTTGTGTATTGGTACAGTATGTATGCTTTTTTTTTCCGATTGTTTTGATTTATGCATATTATTATATATTAAATACAAATAATTTTATATTGTCCTGTTATAACAGCACAATACGCTGTATAGTGATTTATTTATTTTCCTTGAATTATTCATTTTTGGTCAACAAAATAAAATATTCTTTATTACAGCGGCATGATAACTGGAAAAATTAAATTATAATTCCAATAATCCACAACCCATGCACACATTGCATTAACACTATATTCTTTTTTATCTTGAAAAAAATTAAATTTTAAATTCTTTTAAATATTCCATAAAAAAAAATTTTTTTTTTCAGATAACAAAAAAAAAAAATACTTGTTGCATAGCAATTAACGCGTGAATTGTTTCCTATAGCGATCAGTTTCTCATTCTTTCACTCTTACACTCTATAATTGTAAAACAACAAGAGAGGAAAATTATTTCATTTTTTAATAAATACTCTTGACCTTTTCCTTTTTTTATCTCTGCGTCAAGTTGTATTAACATTTATGCTTAATTCCTATCTTTTTTTAATGAACTTCCTGAAAAATTTTTTTATATACAATCTCCACGATTAATTCTTTTTTAAAAAATCAAAATTAATTTAAAATGTCAGACAACATAAATCGAGATCTTGTCCAATGGCTGGAGCCAAGAATATTCCTTCTCACAGAAGAAAAGATGCAAAAGGCGCATTTTTATTATCAGTGGTCATCTAATAACCGTGATAATCCCCGTAAACCTTATCAACATATGACAACACTCCATCAATACCTGCAAAATATTGGGGAGTATCTTCTAGAAACCGAAGAAAGCGAATTTGAATATGTTCCGAAGAATGTGCTTTGCTCGGCTATTGATGTTTTGGTTACAAGTGCTTCTGGTAATGAATTATCAAAGGCCAAATTATATTGTGATCTCTTTAATGAACTTACCGATCAAGCAAATAGCGCAAATAAAGCTTTTTATGATGAATGTGATAGAGCAGCCGCTGATGCAGCTGCTCAAAATCAAAATCGTCCAAATCGAAGTAATGATCGTGACGAGGACGAATTTGATATTGATTCATTTATTGGTGGTGTACAATTCTCATCAAACTGGTAACCAGTTAGCTATCATAAGAATACATAAGAATACATAAGCATCATTTCTTAAGTTGTTTTTTTTTAAAAAAAAATTCATTAAAAAATAAAAAATATTATTTATTTCTCATGCAGATAATGTTGGTAAAGGTGATTGTTGTACAAAGAATCAATTCCAAAAGTAAAATTTATTAAGAGCTGAATGTAAAAGACTGAAAAATCAAGATATGTAAATCAATTGATATTATGAAAACATTCAAAATTAATAACCCTTTTAAAAAACTTATTAATGTGTGAAAAATTTGAGCTAATTGCTAATTTAGATAGAGATTCGTTGGAATTTCAGTCCAATTTCTTTCAATTCACACAGTGTGTTAAAAAAAACCCGTCGATTTGTAAAATTTTGTCTTTAATGAAAAAGTGGCCAAAAAGATGTAATAAAAATTAGATCAGAAAAACGGGTCATAACATACGTACGCAGCGAGT